AATACAAAAATGTAACTATTGCTAAATGAGCTACTAAGTGAAGAAAAAAAATAGCTTAGATTTGGCTCTATAAAAGATTTAATTCCTCAAAAGGTTAAATTTACAAATTATAAAACTTTCTCAAGTTGATTGAAAGATTAAGTCTTGTAAAATAACCTCACATAATCTACTAAATCCATAGGCTATAAATTAAGAGTGTCAAGTTTTCATATCATGCGATAAAATTTAAAGAAGTATATTGCTAGAATAGAAGTTTAATAAAGTGAATACAAATGAGCTTGGTGCCTAATCTAAGAAGATTCAAAAGAACTAATTATTTAAAATAAATATTTTTCATGAGCTCTTATATGTCTATGGTATAACAATATGGATTTTTTTATGCAAATACACTAATAATTAATCTAGCTATTGATATATAGGTATTTGACTTGTAAAGCCACATGACGACTTAGTAGGCTACAACAACTTGACAACAACTTGAGAGCTACCATAGCTATTCAATTATGCATTGACTAATATTCATGATATATGGCTACTTATCAATTATCTATATAATATCTAATATAAATTAATCATATGTATGAATATTTTTTAAACAAAAATTTCTAAATATAGAATTTATAATAGGTTATACTTTATTCAGATTAAATTTTGTATAGTATCTATTTAAGTACTATAAATATAAGAGCTAAAAGATTTTACAATTAAAATCATAGCAACAAATTTTTATCTCTTATATTTTATTTAAAATTAAAAATAAAATATTTAAAATTTATAATATAAAAACTATGTATTAACTGAATAAGTAAAGGTTTTTTTTGAAGTATTATTTTAGTTAAAATATTTTTTAGGATTTTTGTAAATAATATCTTAATTTGTATATTAGTAATTATTTATTTAAATTATAAAATTAGATAAATTTTAAAAATAAAAAATATATAATGAGTTTAAACCTTATTTTAATTTAAATTTTTAAAAATATGCTTTTAAAAAAATAGAAAAAAATAATTAATTAAATAATATAATTTTTAAATATATATATTAGATATAAAACAAATCCTAAGTCCTAAATTCTAAATAAATTTATAATAAGGGATTATAATCTTAATTAAGATTATATAACATAAAATAATGTAATCTAATTCAAAAAGATAAATAAAACAAGATATAAAAAAAATTAGATTTCTTTATTTCTTTATTTATTTTAATTAATTGAAATATTTTTATAAATATTTTGTATACAGATAAAAAAAAGACTCAAGGTTTATAATTTGGTATTATTTAACAAAAGTATCTTATTTAGATCTATTAATGTGTTACTAAATAGATAAATAATCAATTAAAATAAAATATAAACATATAAATAATAACCACAAACTATCTCTTTTTTTTATTATTATCTTTTCATGAATAAAAATTTTATAATTATTAATAATACTATTATAATAAATATCAATTTTAATAGGAATAATGATAAAATCTGAAAAATATTAATAATTTTTAAAAATATATATTTTAAGATATTTTTTTATTATCTTTCAAAATATTTTTTAAAAATAAGGTATAAATGAATGTTCTCTCTTTTTGGAAAATATTACCTTAGAGTTATTTTTTTAAAGCCAACTATAGCATACAAAGTGTATGTTATTGTCTTTATTATCATCTAGCTTTATTGAATCTTGTGATTTTTAATCTCCTATGATTTTTTTATATTATCTAAATTAGTATTTGCAACTATATAAGATTAAGATATAATATTAAAAAATAATATGTACATGCATCAAAATTAAATAATTAAAAATATATAAAATTGTATATTGAGTTAAGTTTTTTTTAAATAAAAAAGTTCATGCAATTATATGTATATATATTGGGAAATATTAAAAATATCAAGAAGAGGGCGGCTGGGGGTGGACCGCAGATGGTATGGAACAATCCAGTACCGTTGTTGTTACCGAGAAAATCTGAGTGCTTTAACATTTGTTGAGTGATCTCACCGTAATACTTGGTAGAGATGTTGCTCAAGTGTGATTCCACGTACATGAGCTTCTCGAGCTTATCAAACTGGCCGTCCATCTCCGAGACGGAGACCTCGTTGCCATAGTGTCAGTTCTACACTCAATGGTCCACTGCCTGGCTCACAGACTACGATGTAGAGCAGTTTGATTAATGTAGTCAACAGTGATACTTTTTGTAGATCATTGATGATCCTCGTGGAGGAAGTGAGGTGGATTGAACAGGTCCGGTGACGAGTGTGTGACTGCTGTAATTTGTGAGTCAAAAAAGGGAAAGTGCATCGACCTGGATCTTCCAAGCGAACTTGACATCGTTGCTGATGTCTAGGTAAATGCTAATATCCAACAATTCCCTGACACGCTCGTCGTACCTGGACGTTGAAACATCATAGTAAGAGATTATGGAGTTCAGAACTTACTGACCGAATGAGAACAATCTTGTTACCTCTGAGAAACGTACAAAATGCACATGTAGAAATCACTCAATGTAGAAATCAACATGTAAAAAATAGTAGCGCTCCGCGAATGAATTAACCACTAAACTACAGCAGCAACCAGAAAAGGGCACTGAGAATTGTGGCCAAAATCGTCAAGCTTGCTCTCACAAGAGCGGCAGGAAGCTTACATTGGGTGCAGACCCTCGATGACGAGAAGCTTGAGGGGGGAGGGGGGGGGGGGGGGTTGGGGGTGAATGGTTTCGGAGGCATCCAACAAATCAGTCACGTGGTTGTAAATCGGCTTCTCAAAAGACTTGCCCTCCTTCAAGGCCTACACCTGCTCGTACATGGGATCAGAGTTGTTAGCCTTGGGGTCCAACGCAGTCTCGGCCTTCTCCTTGCGACCATACCTGTCAAGGAAGTGGTAGTCGTCCAGGCAAATCACGGTGGTGGTGTTCCTAATCAGCGAGCTGGAGTCAGGGTTGCCATCCCTCGGGGACGTCGCAACGCCTCCGAACACGGTCGTCAACCTCCGCATGAACGTAGACTTCCCGCACCCGGAGTCCGCAGCCATTCCAATGACCACCGTCTGCCCACTAGCAGCTTTGCAAACCACCACGGCCCTTGGGGCACTGCTCTTCGACGTCACCGCAGCCTGCAACGACGCGACGTGGCTCACACTGACAAGCTTTGGCCATGGAAGGCAGACGTCAATTGCACGGGGCGAGAAGAGGGCATTGGAAAATGTCTAATGCTGTGGATGATGAACTCTTCGGAGCGAGACACTGTTCCTTTATATGAAGCTTTGAGGGAAGGAGGACCAAAGAAGGATCTTACAGTTATTGGAATGCTGTGCACAAGGTACTCTTCACTGCATGCTCCCTGCTTCGAATGATCCGCCTTCGTTGTGTTCTAATTTCTTTGCAGGATTAAGTTGGTGTTTGTGGGCGAGATTTGAATCAAAGATCAGAAATGGGAGCTAAGGGGACCATGACAAGGACTGGGAACAGTGAGGGGGTTGGGACAAGGGTTGAAAACAAGGACAGGGGCTATGAACTAAGATTGGGGACAAGGGTTGGGAATGGGGGAATGAAGATAGGGGTTGGAAATGGAGAAAACATGGATGGAGCCGGAAACAAGGGAAACAGCAACTGGGAACAAAGGATGCAATGATGGTTTAGATAAGTGGATTGATTTAGTAAAAACTTGGATCATTTTAATATTTTCCTATGTGTGTGTGTGTATATATATATATATATATATATATATAAGTTGAACAATGAAATTCTATACAACCATTATTTATTATAGATATTTTAATATCTAGTAGAACAATTAGACTAATAAATTTAGAAAATACTTACAATGTTATTAAAAATAAATGATATTTTTTGTTATTATCTCATCACTTGGATAGGACAAGACTCCAAAACCTCAAGAAAATCAAATATAAGAATTTGATTTTACATCACAAGAAAGAGCTATAATAAGGAACAGGAACAAGACCAAAAGGTTCAAGTTGAGCTTTGTATTGTACAGCTTCCTTGTACACTAGTATCCATAAGAATCAAGGTTGAGAAGATCTTTAGTTTCAACAATGCAACTCTTGTACTTGAATACATTAGGGATCATTGAAAATCTTCTAGAACCTTCTAATAAAGTTGAAAAGATCAACATTTCACTCACATTCTTTCATTTTAAAATCTTCTAAACATAATTGAGTGGGCAATGAAGTGTGTCTTCTTAGTTGGATTTCAAGTGTGGCCCGTGATTGCTTCATCCAAATTTCGTAAGCCTCTAAACTGCTTGACAGGGCGTTTGAAGCCGACGAAATGCCTTGAAAATATAAGAAGAATATGAAGAAGTCGGAAAAGAAAGGAAAGAGTTGAAAACAAGTCGTGACTAACAACTTTTGATAGTTTCCACAAAAGAATGCTGAGAGTATGTCTCACAAGATGGAAAACTTGCGAAATGCAGAACAATCCACGTTTCTCACAGAAAAGACATGAAGTGATGTACGCAGTGGTGGTAGCCACGAACGAGGTAAATTTTACTCTGGGACCAAATCAGATATCCTTCCACTGCACATCAAGATTGAATAAAGGTAAAAAGCCTGGACACATGCAAATGGCGTATGAAGAACTGGGTCCCCATACTCACTGATCTGCAGAAGGTTCACGCACGCCGATGGCCTCACAAAAATGAAGATGACGTCGAACGACAGCCGCCTTGCAACCGACTGACAGTGTGGATCAATAGTTGTATTTCAAAACCAACTCACAAGAGAATATTTGTTTTCCAGTTCATTCGAGTTCATAGAGGCGGCTCATGAATAGGGTCCTACTAGAAGCTCCCTTGGCTGCTTCGCGTAAAGCTCTTACAGTGTTGTGCGAAAAAGTGGCTTCGTGCTGACCACTCTAAGTATGGTAAACAACATTGACCTTGAATCAACGGGAAACAAAACTTTGCTATTTTAGAGCTACAAGAGCTCGAGGTGAAGTGGAGTTTTGCAGTGAGGATCCAGTTTGCAGGGGTGAGAGTGTTCGAGTCGGTGGTCGAAGTCATGGCGTCCCAAGTGCCTCGTGTGAAGCTAGGTTCCCAGGGTCTGGAGGTGTCGCAGCAGGGACTGGGGTGCATGGGCATGAGCCAGTTCTGTGAGCCTCCTCCGCCGGAGCAGGTCATGATCGACTTGATTCACCACGCTGTCGAAAGAGGGGTCACATTTTTGGACACTGCGGATATGTATGGGCCTTTTACTAACGAGATGCTTGTGGGCAAGGTAGGGGTCCCAGCTTCGAATCCGAGTGCATTCATCTGGGTTCCACGTCCCATTGTTCATTTTGATCAAACCGACAATTGCATTTCATCCTGCAGCTAAGCATAAGCTTAATAGTTGAGTGTTGAAGGATAATCCATCGATTGTTCACCGTTGGCTGTGAGGAAGGCGCGGCTGCGGATTTATGGTTTGGATGTGGTGCAGGCAATCAAGGGCATTCGGGACAAAGTGCAGATCGCTACGAAGTTCGCCAACTACATCGACGAGAATGGAAATTACAGCGTAAGAGGTGACCCTGAGTACGTGCGAGAAGCATGTGAAGGAAGCTTGAAGAGGCTGGGAGTGGACTGCATCGATCTCTACTACCAGCATCGTGTCGACACCAAAGTTCCGATCGAGATAACGGTTAGTACGCCGGTTGCTCTTGCGATCCTGCTGATTGGTCGAACGAACATGGCAGCTGACGAGCTTGGTAGATGGGTCATTATGGAACTATGTAATAATCAGAATCCTCATGAAGAAGCAACTAAAGATTGGGCGCATGTCGAACGATGGTAGTGGAGAGATGAGCATGTGTATCTGGAAAACGGGATACGTGCTTGAGGTTGAACTCAGAGTGTTGGGTTATGGCGCAGGTAGGGGCGATGGCGGAGCTGGTGAAGGAGGGAAAGGTGGAGTATCTGGGGCTGTCGGAGGCGTCAGCGTCCGAAATTAGGCGTGCACATGCGGTGCATCCCATCACTGCGGTGCAGATGGAATGGTCACTGTGGGCTCGTGATATCGAGGAAGATATTGTTCCCACTTGCAGGTGACGGGCATCTGTGGGAATTGCCCTGATTTGAGCGCAAGAGTGGTGACCGCTGAGAGAATGTTAGGCATGGTCGCACCATCTCGGTCCGCACATGGACAGTCCACGGATGTTCGGAAAACGCTGCAAAGTGAGTGAGTGGGGTTTGGGATTCAGCTGTGTGTCTCACGATGGGCGATGTGGTGCGTATGCAGGGAGTTGGGAATCTCAATTGTGTCATATAGTCCTCTGGGTCGTGGCTTTTTCGCGGGGTTTAAAGCACAGGAAGCCAAAGAAAATGATTTCCGGTCCTATCACGTGAGATTTACGGGAGAGAACCTGGAGAAGAACGAGAGACTGCGACAACGAGTGGTGGAGATAGCGGAGAAGAAGAACTGTTCGATTAACCAGCTCGCTCTGGCATGGGTTCATCACAAAGGCAAGGACGTGGTACCCATACCCGGTACGACGAAAAGGAAGAACCTGGATTCCAACATCGATTCATTGCAAGTATCATTGACAGACGAGGAGATCGCAGAGCTGGAAGCAGCGGTGCCCCAGGAGGACATTGCAGGAGACCGATACAACCCAGAACATGCGCACAACACATGGCGCAACGCGAGCACACCACCCCTGTCTTCATGGAAGTGAAGTTTTTGTTGTGAAGTAGGTCGGAAGAGTTTGATGATCAGTTTCTTGGATCTCGTAGAAGTGACTTCGTCTAACAGTGTCCTGTGTGTCAATGCATCTACAAATAAGAAGGCAGATCAGACAACTTGTTGATGTTTTAGGCTGCCGTGGTTGTTGTGTCAACACATAACAGAATGCACCATCGGGGACTGGAATGTGAATGGGGATCGATACATACTGATTTGGGCTACAGTTGGTGTCGAAATTTGTTGCCAAGTGGAGTGTTCATTAGGCTTCCTGGAACATGCTCCACTTGGGATGAAGAACAGCTTGGTTGGAATCATGTTTCAGGGTCAATTTCTGAAGAACTTTTTGATATATTATAGTGAACTGTACAGTACATGAGTACTTTAGGTCTTGTAAATTCTTGCTGAATATTATTAGTTTCTTTGCTCTATGAAAACTGTAAATGGCAAATAGAATGGTAGAGCAACTTTCCTGTGTGGTGAAGGATGTTACAAGATACCTTTGTGAGTGAGTATGAATTGTGGCTTTTGCAATTGTCTGCTTTTAAGCATACGTGGTCAACTGAAATGATATATAAACACAATCATTTTGGAATGATGTAAAAACCCTCTATGCAAAAAAGTAAGTACATAAGTAGGTGAAAATATATTAAAACAGGCAAATATTACAACCAAATTTAAGGTTTTATGGACAATTAAGAAATGAATTCAAAGCTTCTTTACTACAAATCAAAACTTTGTGAGTTTTTTTAGTTAATTTTTGGAGATTCAAAACCATTTATAATAGATTACAGCCAGTAATCTAAAAACATTGTAAATTTTGTTACATAAGTAAACTTGTGTATAATTTATGATTTCAAATTGTAAAGTAGTAAAAAGATGTAAACTAAATGTAGGTTTCATACAAAATTAATGTTTTATACATATGTAGATAGTAGTACAAATTAAGTATATGTAGTAGTTATGTAAGATATTTAAATAATGCAACAATAAGATGAGCACATTATTGAAGTAGGACCACTACCACATCAAACACAAAATGACAACAGTTGTAGGAGAGACTATACTACAATAAAAGCAGCCAATAAGGGAAAAAAATCAAAAATGAAAAAAAAAAATATATATATATATATATTCATTTAAAAAAATTATGGATAATGAGATTTTAGCTAGTTTTCTATACAACTTTAAAAGATTTTTGAATAATATCTCTCCAATTTAGCATATAAACAATCGTTTTTCAACTTACAACAAAGACTTGATTATGCTTTGAAAATGACAAAAATATTCATTAAAAAATATTTTTTTTGTCAATTCAACCATCTTAATTATAATAGAGATTTATTTTATTATTGACTTCAAATAAAACTTCCACTTGAATTTTTTCTATGTACGAATACTAAAGTATACTAAAAAATTATAAAATTAAAAATTATATTATACATCCATTTGCACTCAAATATTGCAGACACTTAAATTAAATTGATTATTAGAAATCATTGACAAGGTACAAATCAAGATTGATACCTTACAGATTGGCGCATTAACATCTTACACCATGGTGCAATGAGAATTCCTCAAAAAATGTAGTTAGATAATCAAAAAAATTATAATTGAAAAATAAAAATAAAAATAAAATCAACAGTATCAACAACAGCAAGAATAGTATCATATTCTAACCTTAAGATCATATTATAATTTAATATGTGCAACTATGTAGATCCAAAAATTAATAAATTAATAGTGGTTCTACACGAACACTTTAGATTAAGTTCTTTTAGTACAAATTTCTATTAATAGATAATTCATATTTTTTTATCAAAAACTAATAATGTAGAAGATTAGCTTACAAAACATGCACAAAAATATGAAGAATATTGGATATTACAGAAGTATTGATAATATTAATTTACACATACAATAAGTCAACAAATTAGCATGTCCAATATAATCAATATAATCAAGAATATTCAGCTTGTCAAGACAAAAGAGTATTTATGACTATCAATTTAATTGTTTGACCAAATAGAACTTTATATTCTAACAAAGGTGATGGATGAGTTGTTCAACCTGATTCTTATAAAGAATCCAAATTTAGATCTAAATATTGATTATTTTAAAATCTTGAATTAAAAACAACAAATGAAACAAACAAGTGACTACCTATTTTTTTCTTTGTAACAAACTAATATGATCTTAATTACTTGTGAGGAATGCTACTAGTAGATTAATAAATAGAGATCTAATAATTGTAATAAAACATACAAAAGAGTAACTTTTAAAGGCTATTGGATATAAAATTTCTTCACGTTGAATATCATAAAAGATAGTTGATAGCTTAGTTTATTCTAATAATTATTTATATTGAGAAAAAAAAAAAAAAAAAAAAAAAAAAAACTTCTTCTTCTTTTTGCTTTCTTTTCACTTCTCTTCTTTCTTTTTACATGTGTATATCTCAAATTTCAAAAAAATAATTCTTTGAAAGTAGATAAATTAAAATAATAATTTTGAGTAATATCTTCTTTAAGAAGTAAAAATCTAAGAGTTATTTCAATAATTACATCTTTTTTAAAATATATATATATATATATATATATTAGATAATATAATATTTATTTTCAATAAATTTAATTTTTATAATTTTCTTGATATATATATATATATATATATATATATATGTGTGTGTGTGTATGTGTATATATATATATATATATATATATATTCTTCATGCAATAATTAATTATAATCATATTGAAAAAATAGGAAAATAAGATTAAATTAAATTTATACAATTAAGAAATTTGTATCATAAAACAAGTAATATAAGAAGGATTTGAAGATATCTTATTCTTTAACATTATTTTTTATCAAAACATTATGTTGTTGTATTACATAAAGCCTTGCTTGAGAATGCACTAAATATTGGATTGTAGAAGGTAAATTAAAAATTTCAACAATAAGGTCCTAAAAACTCTTATTGAATCCTAAATAAATTATAATTAAAGCTTAACAATTATATTCAAATCTTAAATTTAAAAGAAATATTATAAAAATTATAAAAAAAACATAAAAAAATTTCAAATAAATTTTAAAGAAATCATAAAGAATTTTATAAATTCCTACAGAATCATCAAAAAAAATCCTTTTTATATACTAAAAATAAAAATCTTGAGTATATTTTGACCAAAATCTAATCAAAATCTTAAAAAATCCTAAATAAATCCTAAATAAATCTAAACAAATCTTTATCAAATCTTAATCTAATTTTAAATCCTAAATTAAATCGTATATTATATTGGACCTCAATAATTAAATATTTAATTGAATATTTTGACTCAAAACTTACACACCTCTTAATTACATAATTTATAATAAGCATAAATAATTTAAATAAGATCAAATTTACCAAATAGAAGATAAATCCCATAATCCGTTTAAGTATTAGTCGGACTCCTTCTCCAACCTTGAAGCTAATCTCCCATCACTAATAGTTCTTGATTTTATGGTCCAATGGCTCTCAAAATTTTTATACTTGTTGAAAATTAAGTCTATTACTAGTAAAAGAAATTTTATTTCAATCCAATTGGCTTATTATTGCAAATCTTAGAAACTGTCATGGATATACGCATGTAAGCCAGTAATTACATGTATAAATAGATAGAAGTAAGTAAAAGTAGGTAAAAGTAAGTTAATTCTATAATATTTGTTATACAAGCTTTTTAGATGCTTCATAGACACTGCTTTGATTTCATAGATGTCTTTAATTGACTTTTTGGATTCAAAACAAGGTCAACAAGTTGGCCATGTGCCACACATGTTGTTAGTTTGAAGACCAAGCTAACTATGTGGCCCACATGTAGAAAAACTTGCCTTGTAAGTCAAGGCATGTGTCCTACAAAGTCAATACATATTGAAGGTCCTATAGAACATTGCCACGTAGCCCCTAATTAGATAGTATATATAGAGACAAGAGTGAAGCCCTCTTCACTCTTATCAATTCCTTTCTTGCTTCTAGTCTAGTTTTAAGGGTCTCTAGTTTTCTTGTCTTTTTGCAATAGCCATTCCAGTTTCTTTCTTAATATACATATTGAGTTATTTCTATTTTGTCATCTTTCTTTGAGAGAAGTCTCACTTGTTTATTTGTCTTTATCAAGTTCTTGTGCTTGATAGATTGACAAGAGTACACTTACAATATCAGAGCTTTATCTAATCTTCATTAAGAGTGGATTACTCCTTTTTCTTGATAAGACATAAACGAATTAGAAGTTACAGATTACCTTCTTCTAATTGATATTTTCCTTAGTATTTTCTTTATTCTTAAGTCCTCACTTCTATTTGTCTTGAGCAATATTAGACATCTTTTTTTTTAAAATGTTATCATGGCAGAACTTACTCAAATGAAGAGTGCAATGGCACAAATGCAAGAGCAATTGAGAGAGTTAATGCTTGTGATGCATCAACTCAATTTACCACCACAAGGAGCAACAAGATTAGCATGAAGTGATGATATATAAATGTTAAGAGCTACTTCAATATCTGGACCAAATCATATCTCTTCTTCTATGGTGGAACGTCCTTCTAGTGTTAGAGAATCTAAAATTATCCTACCTGAGAAGTTTGATGGCACCAGATCAAAGTTTAGAGGATTTATCAATCAAGTACAACTTGTGATTGAACTTCAATCCCAAAGCTATCTAACTCTAAGATTGTAAGTTAGATTCATTGGTACGCTTCTTTCAGGTTCAATATTATCATCGTTTCCATCTTTTTTTGAATGACAAGATCTAATATTAGATAATTTGAATGCTTTTTTATAGGAGTTTCAATCCATATATGGAAAACATGATGCAATTTGTGTTGCAACCAACAAGATTTGTATTTTACGACAAGGTAATTGATCAGTAATATTGTATGCTTGACAATTTTGACAACTTGCAACTGATATCAAGTAGGATAATACTGCACTTGTTAGCCAATTTTTCTATGGATTACAATATGAGGTAAAAAATTAATGCTCAACTTACCTGATCCTCAAACATTGAATCAAGTAATTGACTTTGCTGTGAAGTGCAATAATCATCTTTTTGAATTTTGATTTGAGAACCGTACAAGTGAACCTCAATATTACTATAATTCAATGGCAATACCAACATCTAT